ATCCTAGGGTGGAAATAGCATTCCAGTTGAAAAATCATAGTTTGGTCTTACGGTTGGAGTTTTTCAGTGAGTAAATCTTCTTTAAGCTGATGAATGCAGCTGCTGCCTTGAGAATTTGTGAGTTTATTTCCTTCTGGATATCCCCACTGGCTTGCAGGCTACTGCCAAGGAATGTGAATGGAGGCATTTTTTGTATTCTTTTTGCCTTCTCGTGCCGTGTTTGAACTGGGAGCTACTAGGGTTCTCATCGGGTTCACTTTTCATAATTCCTTCCATTAACCCCTCTTTGGTGCAGTGTCGAGTGGTTCTTAGGTCCTTGCGTGTTGGTCGATTTCCTATTGACAATGGCTGTATTATCAGGAAAATCTGCATCCTTTAGTGCCTTGTGGTTAAGCCACGTAGTTTGCATATGCATTTTTTTGATAGTGGTGTCACTGACAGCGTCTAGTAGAAGGGAAGAAATGCTGCTTTGTCTCACACCGCTGTCTATATTCAACCCCTTGCCTGAATCCCCAGCTTCCCAGCCTAAGCAAGTTGCTGGAGGATTTTCTTGCACTGCCTGAAACACAGCATAGTTGTTAGTTGAGATGCACCCAGCTCTGTACCAGGCTCAGGAACTGATGCTTCAGCATCACATATCACTTCACACCATCAAAACAGCACGAGTATTCTGGAGTTTGGTCAATGCTTGTGAGGGCTTCTCAGAACTGCAGAGTATTTTTCTAAATAGCAGCAAAACAACTCAGCACTTTGAAAAATCCACTCTCCTTTAGCAATATTTTAAATACAGCCAGCGCAGTTCCCCAGTGCAGCAGTGGTACCGTGGCAGGGTACCAGCTGACACCGGATCAGAAGTGAAGCGTAACGATGCTTTCAGCCCTTGCCATGCAGCCCACATGCTGCCGTGAGCAGTTTGCTCTCTCTGTCAGTTCTTCCTCTGTTTTCAGGAAGGCTTCAGCAGCTTTTCTTACTGCAGATACTGCATCCAAGCCCAAAGGCCCCGTATCAGAAGACCCAGAGTGAATTTAGCCTTGCAGATGATTCTGTGGGTATACTTCCTTGCTTCTCTGTGAGGGTACTTATTTCCTCAATAAATATTTGGGAACAGAGAGGCTGCAGCAATGCATTCAGCTGGCCAGAGTAGGAGAAAAGGTATTTATGGGAATCTGCTGTTTAGTTGGAGTTTGACTGTTCTGCCTCTTTTAACGATGTCCTCTCTTCTCGGTGTAGTAGGAGTAACAATTTCTTCTTTGTATGTATTTTGTATCTATTCCTATTTCCTATTGAAATTCCTAGGAAAATAGACTATCCAAGTACCGAGTTGAAAATTTTGTCTTAAAATAAGCCAGATGTCCAACCTTCCCTTAGCTGCCAAACCCAAAAGAGTTCAAGAAAGATGTTAAAATCTGTCTTCCTGGCTGTGAAAAACTAATTGCATAGCATAGGTGATGATCCCAGTCTCCGAGGAGAAGAAATAAAACTGCTTCGGGCAAAAACTCTGCTGTTATTTGTGTAGGGATTGGAGTTGGCGGTGCCTGTGGAAAAAAATTTGTTGCTTGCCCTCCTTGCTGGTTAACAAATGCAGAGACAGAAACGCAGACATAGGTAGGTGAGCGTTTGTACATCAGTATGCAAAAACCTTATTCGGGGAGCGTCAAAAGGCCAGAGACAAAAGTTTCAGACCCGCTGTGTTACAGTCATGTCAAGAGGCCCCACGGCCTTGGACAAGTTTCTTTATGCTTCCGCACTACAACTATTCTGTATGTAAGATGGACATAGAATTCACTCTCTTTTCCAAGAGTTTTGTGAGGATTAAGGTTAGTAAAGCACTCTGAAGACTAGAAGTGCCGTTGAAATCCTGAGGATTAGAGGTTGCATTTGGCAAAGGGGAAGGGAAAGGACCACATAGTTGAATTTATAACAAGAAAAGTTGTTAGCTTTATCTCCAAATGAAGTGGTCGTGCCTGACTGGCTTCTGAACCCCTAGAAGTTGCTGAGGGTGCCCGGTGCTGGAAAGCAGCAGAGGGGCAGCCACAAGGAACAAAGTGCCTGCATCTCGCCACAGAAAGTGAAGTTACCGGGAGGAGGGTTAAATGAGGGACTTTAAGGATTGTTTTTTGGAATAGTTCATCATACAGCACACAAGCAAAGGATGAGTTCAGCTTAGTCGTAAATACTGTAATCATTCCTGAAGTGACCAAATTACGATGTAAATTCAATATCTGAATGTCTAAGTGCAAAGAAATGTAAACTAATGTGTTGACACTAAATTGAAATAAGGATGATGAAAAAAATAACCATTTGTTTAAATTTTAGAATTCCAAAATGCATTTAAAACTTTTAATTTAGCATGACTGTTACCTTCAAAATACTTTATAAGAAGGTCTTGGAGGAGCTACGCGATTGGAAGCACAGCGATAAGCAGCTCATCAGGATGGCCTAATGGCAGAGTCCAGCAGGGCATCTGAGCCAGAGACTGTTCAGAATAGGGAAATTTAATCCTAGGGAAATACACTGGGGGAAAGAATAGGAATAAAGAGCAGATGGAATATAAGGGAGAATTGAAAAAGAAATAAAAATTTGGTGAGTGCATCACCCCCAGTACGAGAGGGACGTGGAGCTGCTGGAGAGAGTCCAGAGCAGGGCTGCAAGGATGATCAGGGGCCTGGAACATCTGCCCTATGAGGAGAGGCTGAGGGAGCTGGGCCTGTTCAGCCTGGAGAAGAGAAGGCTGAGAGGGGACCTGAGCAGTGTCTAGAAGTACCTCAAGGGAGGGAGTGAGGAGGATGGGGCTGGCCTCTTTCAGGGGTGGCCACCCCTGAAACTGAGGTAATTCAGGGTAATTCAGGTAAACTACCTGAACTACCTGAAGGTAAAGTTCAGGATAAACCCTGAACTAGAGGTAATGGCCACAAACTGAAACACCAAAAGCTCCACAGGCACTTAAGGAAAAAATTCTTAACAGTGAGGGTGCCAGAGCACTGGAACAGGCTGCCCAGAGAGGTTGTGGAGTCTCCTTCTCTGGAGATCTTCAAAACCCACTTGGACGCAGTCCTGTGCCACGTGCTCTACCTGCAGGAAGGTTGGACTAGATGATCTCTAGAGGTCCTTTCCAACCTTAACAATTCTATGATTCTATGATCAAAGAGAGGAGAGCAGTTTGATAAACAGTTATTAGTATGAATAACTAAAGAAGATAACACAGATTCCTAATAATGTAATTATCTTTGACAACAGGCTTCAGTGATCCTACAGCTCCTCTTAGCCAGAAATAAACTGGGTGATCTGAAGCAGGGCTGCACCAGCTCTGTTTGATGTGGTCCTGTTCATCTCAGCCAGTTTCCGTCAGGCCTTTCACTGACCCACACAGGAAGGAAAAGCTCTCTGTGCTCCAGAACAAGGCTAGTCTTCTTGTATCTGATATCATTTGAGAAGCTGCAAGGGTTGCTTGTGGTATTTCCCAAACAAAATGACCACAGCTTTGCTGGGCTCTCCCCTTAGATGAAAGAGGTGGAGAATTAGGTTTATCCATACATTCTTTTGCCCCAGCTCCTAGTCTTGCATACCTGTAACTTGTGCTTCAGTCTTGGGGCTGATGTCAGCAGAGCAGCCCAAGCTCAAACCAGAGATTGTTCCATCACATGTGTCTCATCCCGTGAACCATGTGCATAGCCCCGCCATGCCTACACTTTGTCCATGTAGACCTGATGCTTTTAGGAGTTCCTGTGGGTTCAGTGCAGCAGAGCTGTTCCATCTCTCTCCATTCACTCTGTCAAGACACTTCACAAGCCCTTTTCTCCTCAGGATCTGAACAGCTTCCAGGCTCAGCGGTGCTTGTCTTCTGAGCCTCTTAAATGTTTGGCTTGCTCTTTTTTAATAACCCACCACTCCAAGGCGATAGTGTTTCGCTAGAAGGACCTCCTGCATTGCATTGACCTTGTTCAGAAACAACAGAGGACAGAAATCGGGATGTTTTCAGTACCATCCTAAGTGTATATCCTGTGTTTTCCCCCCATCTCCTCCTCTCCCCCATCGTTTGCTTGTGTGTGGCTCTAGCAGAAATAGGAACCTTACCAAAGTCCTGCAACCCATTGTTCCTTTATTTTAAATACAAGGTTCTTTTATTAACTCCAGCTGGTGCACCTCACTGTGCTCAGTGTGTTTGCTTTATTAAAATTGAACAGCGTGCAAGTAGGACATTGTAAATCACAAGTGACTGGGCCAGAGGAAGAGGGAGGGAGAGGTAGGGACTCCAACTGTATGACAACAAGGAAAGCATATAAACAGGCAGGGCCTCCTGGCAAAGAGAAGCCAAAACTCACGGAGTACAATTTGCAATTGCTCCCAGGAGGACTGGTGAGTGCCAGACAGTTAGCAGGGATAGATGGGGCTGAGTACTTGAATACCTGATGTTTCCTCCTCTATACTAGAACAGAGCTTCTCTAGAGGTCTAGGCATGCATTAGGAGCTACCTGCCTCTGCTATGAGCCATGGTTTTATCTTCTTGCAGTGCTCATGTTTTCCCTGGAGGAAGCCTTGGTAGACTGACCATGTCCTGGAGAGGTCTTTCAAATCAAGGCAACCAGTTCTCTTGGGTCCCTCATGGAGAGGGAGTTGGATGTGCTAGTGCAGTATTTGGCAGTATCTGTTTTCCAGCTTTGCCTCTTTGTGGCCAGTGAAGGGAACTGCACCTCTATCTGCTCCCCGTCCCGGGCGTCTGGTGAGACAAGAGTGTAGGTGGATTCTGAGCATGAAATGAGTCCAGACAGAAAGGCAGCAGCTCCCAGTCTTGTCCTGGGACAGCTCCTCTGCTCATGGAAATCCTCATGGACAAATATAACAGCTGCAGGAAGGGTCCCTGTCTCTCCGTTGTGGAGTCCCAACACCATGGATAGCTGCGAGTCTGCTTCAACCCTGGTGGGGATTTTTACAGTGTACTCGTGTATATGATTTTGAAACTGCTCTGCCTGGACCATGCCTCAGTCCCTTCTCTCCTGCAGTGCTCCTCAACTTGTGGGAAAGGCCTCCAGTCACGCGTGGTCCAGTGTATGCACAAAGTCACAGGGCGCCACGGCAGCGAGTGCCCCATCGTGTCCAAGCCAGCGGCCTACAGGCAGTGCCACCAAGAGGTCTGCAACGAGAAGATAAATGTCAACACAATTACCTCGCCCAGACTTGGTGAGTGAGGGATCTTCCGGGGAAGGGGCCTCCTGTGACTGTAAGCAGAGCACAAGGTACCAAAGCCCAGGCTGCCAGTGTGATAACAGTCAGGCTTCACTGTATTGACCAGGGCCAGAAATGATGAGAGGGCCACCCAGGCAGACTGGAGTGAAGGTCTAGTGTGTGTGGGTCCTCTCATCCATCAGTCCCAGCCTCAGCTTCCACAAAGCTGGAGCATTCGCTGGTGGAGATGCTTGCAAGACCCACAGGAGCAGGCAAATGGGGAAACTGACAGGCATATCTTTCTCACTCACAAAATATATTCTTGCCCTGCTTCCGCTGTGGTGAGTGTAAAATGTGAGACTTTATTCATAATCTGTGTCCTAAGGAAAGTGCATGACCTTGACAAGTAGAGCATCCGTTTTTTTCGGAAAGGGTTATTCCTTTTCATTTGCTGCCACAAGAATGTGGATGTGATGAATTAATTTATCCCTGGGAAGTAAGTGAGCATTCAGTCTCTTTTCTCTGAGCCCTTTGATTTTCTGCCACTGACCTTCATCTCATGCTCCCTGCGCCTGTGGTCATTTTGAGTATGCAATGATAAACTGTTTCCCAAAACACCTTCACATTGCATTTTTAAAAATGGTGCTAGGTAAGAATGCTTCTATTAATAGAATATTGTGGGAATCCATGATCCTCCGCATCGTATTTGCTCAGTTTATAAGAGGATAAATGATTTTTTTTCTTAATTTTAGCCTTTCTAACCTTTCAGAGTCAAACAATACTTTAACTAGGACAGGACTTCAAGCTTCTGACCTGATTTTCTGTTTTTCTCAAAGTCAATAATACTTCTCACAACTGTTTAAAAGAATATGGGGAATTTTCTTCTTGCAAATGCAGTTATGCTGAGAAGCTTCTAAATTCTTTAAGAACATGAGAGGGTATTTTCCAGATATTTTAGCACTAAGAGCACAGTGGAGGAAAAACTTTTCATTTGAGAAGTAAGCCTTTGATACCGATGAGACAAGAAATCCATCCCAATTCACATTTTTAGGACAAAGCAATAAAAAGTTCACGTGTTCAGAAGGCTGGGGAGGCTCAAGTCCCTGCTGAAAGTAATCTGCAAGTAATTTTGGATGCTTTTGTTTCTAAACCAAGTTTGGAATCACCAGGGCCAGAAATAATGATATTTGATATTAGCAGAAAGATATATCACTGAGTGTTTTGTTCTTCCTGCATATAAACAAATTCTCATTGCATTATCTGAACAGAAATTTCTGTTCTCTGCAATAGCAACCACATGAAAAAAAATACTGAAAAAATATACTGAAAAAAAAAACCAAACTTGAGGAGTCTACAAAACCTGTGTTGCCTTTTCCCTGTTCCAGAATGTTTTTCATCTGGGATAACATTTTCAGAATTATCGAAGTGTGGAGTTCACCTCACCTGATTTTCACATCCCTGCTCGGTGTCTCCCAGTGAAGACACAGATGGATTTATTCAGCCCCTCAGATACCTGACCCATGTGTCCTAGACATGCTTATCTACTCTTATGGGGCTTGGACCTCTGGTTTATTTCAAGCACCTAATTTTTAAACAAGTGAAACATGCTAGAAGCACAGTCTTATTTGAGGCTCAATGCCTTCTGATATATGAAGCTGTCAGATTGAGCCTGTCAGATTGAGCCTCAGTCTTACTTGAGGCTCAATGCCTTCTGATATATGAAGCTGTCAGATTCAGATGGGTCGCAGATGATCAGCTATATCCCATCTCCTGAATGCTGCCCTGGTAGGACCCCAATGGACGTGGGAGCTGCAGATCTAATGCTCTCAAAGAGCTACTCCACCACTGACAGACTGTCAGAAACGCTCCCCTTGGCCACGATGACCACTTCCATTTGCTGTCAGCTTTTTTTCTTGCAGTCAAATTTTTAAAATTCGTTTCTTGTTACCTTTTTTTATTTTCTCTTGGGACATTGTAACTTCACTGCATCATATTCTACCCATCTTTTGCCTTTTGTGCGGTAAAATGGAGCTTCAGTAATATGTATTCCTACCAGTTCTTCCTGACATGGTTTTCTTGTGCTTGGCACTGAGACTTCAAGCTAATTACAATGTGTGGGTCTTTCCTGTTTTCATCCATCAGGGTTAAGGAACAAGGATTCAAGATGCTGCCGGGCCAGCACCCTCTGATGTACTTTAATCATTCTTTTTTTTTTTCCATTCTCAAAGACCATAATACTCATTTAGAATGTTTCTCAACTAGCAGAGCATTCATAAAAATACTACATACAATTTTTAAGTCTTACACCATAAAAAGCATTCAGCATATACACGCATTTCTATCAAATGTAAAATTTTGTTACCCACTGCTCTTTTATAAAACCGTATGTGTCACTTAACTGTCATGTATCTCCGGTATTGATAGGAAGATTGGCTCTTTCTTCCTGAATATGCAGTGATTTTGATCACATCCGCAGTGCTGTTCTCTGGCTAATCTGTTAGTTTTTCCTCTCTTTTCTTGTCCCAAGCTGCTCTCACGTACAAGTGCACAGGCGACCAGTGGACAGTGTACTGCAGGGTGATCCGGGAGAAGAATCTGTGCCAAGACATGCGGTGGTATCAGCGCTGCTGCCAGACTTGCAGAGACTTTTATGCAAACAAGATGCAGCAGAAGAGTTAATGAACCTGTGCTACTTCTTAGGGTATTACAGCTGTTTGTATGTAAATCACGAACTAGTAGGTCTGAGTACTGGAACTTACGAGTTGCTACAACGCGGTGGATTCCAAAGCTTACCTAATAAGACTTGAAACTGTTTCTACAGACTGGATACCAAAGTAATCCACTCATCCACCTTAAAAAAAATGCAGAAAAGAGTCATCTCAAGGAGCCAATCATTTTATCGTGTTTTGACATCTTTTCATTTTTCATTAATGCTTTTTACTTTAATATATTAAATTACCAGCCACTGGATGGCTTGCTACCCTTAAAGAAAAGGACAAGAGTTGCAAAGTGATTACATTGACTAAGGTTATGGGTACTTCAGTGGAGGAAGCCTCTGGCAAAATAATTCAGCAAAGGTAGAGACGTTGCTTAATCTTTCAGTCTTGGCTTTCATCTGATGTTTTTAATTCCCAACAGTTGTCCTGCTGTGGAGTGGGCTTGGAGGGACACATATAAATGAAAGGCTTAATTTAAAGAGGGGATTTGCTGTAAAAGCTTGTGAAAGCTGATAGCAGAGGCTGGACATCTCTGAAATTCCTGCAGAAAGCTCAGTGCAATAGTATCCAAAATTCCACATCATGTTTTTTAAAACAACTAATAGGGACTTGTTCTTCTTTCTAATTTGGAAAAAAAAAATCTCTTTCTCATTTTCGTAGAAAAAAATATACCATTTCTTTTATGAAGCCTTTTTTTCCCCACTGAGCTTAATGAAATGGAAGCCTATTAACAGCACTAGACAATTATTTCTAAGCAAAGACCATATGCATGAGATGGGAGAAGCCAGAAATCATTTCATCCAGTAGTTCACTGGGGGATTGTTTGGTTTCATCTCTGCTCTCCAGTTTTTAGAAGAAAATCTGATAAGAAGACTGAATGTTACTTTTAAGAGGACTGTGAAACTGGATAGGGTTGTTACAGAAACAGGACTTGGAAAAGCCTTTCTAAGAAGGCTGGACCCGAGAGCAGAACAGGTGTTTCCCATCTCTCGGCTCTTATATCCATCTGACATTAAATAGCCTTTTGAGTCAAAAGCAGTGATTGATATAGGACATTCAAGGTGAAATCTTGGGCTTGTTGAAGCTGTAAGGCTAAGACTCCTTTTACCTCCAGCAGAGGTTAGGATTTTGCTCACTGTATTTTAGTGCTTCCTATCTCCTTTTTCTGGTGCTATCAGGTTTGGTGCTATCAGAGCACTTACAAAGTGCTGCATACACAATATTCTCTTCCATGTATCTGCACTTTAACCCAGACTCCTCTCTGAGAAGTGAGACTTGAAATGGGAGCTCTACACAGGGCAGAGTTTGCCCCCTACATTAGTCCTACAGATCAGTGTCTATCTGTCGTATCTTGCTCTAACACGTATTGTTTCCCTTGCCAGGCTCCAAGGCCAGTTGTGCAGTGGTTAAGTTACAGCCTGCTCTTCATGATACAAGCAGAGCCTTTTGCATGAATCGCAGCTTTGTACTCGCTCTAGAACCGGTTGTGGCCGTTTTTAGTCTTAGGAGAGGAGCACAGGACTCAGCCCTGCTCCTACCCCTTGGGCCAGGCTGCACTGCAGCTCATGCCCGCCCTCAAGTTGTCACTGTTGCTGTCATTTCTATTTTTCAGCCTAAGGAAAGATAAAGACTCTCAGTTCCTAACATATTTTGAAAGTAACTTCTTTCTTACTGCAAACATTTCAATATCCAGGACCTCACTGGAAAAACTCACTAGCATTTTATTGAGGGCTGCATGTTTCAAGCACAGAGATCTAATCTTGCACAGCAAACTGACACTGTGTGGGCATCTGTGCTTGCTCGTGCAAATGAACATGTGTGCACACAAGTGCTGCCCTGTACGCACAAGGCTCCTTTGCACACAGCCTTCCCTCGAGTCCCTGGCTCTGCTTTCCCATGCTACAGATGATTTTCTCCATCAGGGAAATGATTCACACTTGTTTTTTGTTATACTGGATGCTCTTTTGGCATCTTAAAGTCAGGAGCAGATCTCTTTCTTCTGTTACTCCCCCCCTCTAGCCCAAATGTGGAGGTGGTAGTAGTGGTTGGGTAGTCCCTTAGGAAGTGATCCATGAAAATGGTGCTGTTCATAGAAGTTTTTGGCAAAACCCCCGTGATACCTACTTAGCAAATGGCAAATGAGGAAGTGCCAGAGAGATCAGACACAGTCCAGAGGACATTGCTGCTTCATATCCAGATTTCCTGGGGCGGTTTTCCCTGGGGCGGTGCCCTCCTCACATTTGGAGCTGGCTGTTTTCCTTCAGCTGGGTAATGCCTGCCCATAGAGTGGCCTGGCCAGGTGAAACCAACCCTTGTTGGTTATTTTTGGCATTATTGGCATTTAGATTGGGCTGTTGAAGGCTCTGCTGCCAGGATTTTGTGTTTTCTTGAGGGAAGAGTTAAGTGTGTTTATTATTAATGGAAACCATTTTTTCTTTTCAAATAACAGGGATTGTTTATTATTTTTCCTTCTGGTGCTGGTCTGGCACTCTCCCTAGGCAATAGGTGGCCACCTAGGAGGGTGCTTAGAAGAGGAAAAAAAAAAAAATTCTTATTTTTCCCTAATCATTCACTACTGTCTGCTGTTCAGAACAGGATACTGGGTTACTTCAACCTGTGGCTTGTCCCAGTATGGAAGGTCCTGGACTTCCAAGAACATTTGGGTCCAAGCTCTGGATCCTGTCTTAGAATACATGAATTTATCCCATGGGATGTTTGAGCACTGAAAGGCACCTCTCTTGCTCTCACGGGCCACAGACTAGCATGCATCAGGCTGGTTTTTTAAATCAGGAACCATTGTTAATTAAAAACTGGTGGCGCGACACAGCTCTGTTTTATTACATTCTCTAACTTCATCTAGGGACAACCCTCCCATTTTGTAATGGCCAGAAAAGTGAAAAAAAAAATAATTCAATACTCCTGCACTTCTGTTTTATATCATTTTATAGGAGCTTTTCTATGAATTTACAGCTATACTCTGCCCTGAGTTACTACATTCTGGTGAAGAGAAAGCCATTCGTTTCAGTGTATCTATGACAATACTTCTTTTAAGTTGTTGTTCGTAAGAGATTGACACTCCTTTGATTACAGTGGTGATATTTCCATATTGTAAACAATACTCTGTACTGTTACTAACGTACTGTACATTTCTAGTTGCACAGTTGTGTTATTGAGTGTAGATTCTCACTATCTCATGTATGGTGCTATTTTTTGTTGGTGGAGAAGAATCTTAGCAGTTGATTATTGCTTGATATTTTATTATAATACAGGGATATATCCTCCATGGCAATAATATCATTTAAGTTTTTCATTACAGAGTGAAATGTATATATTTTTCCATTAGTTAATTTGCATATGTACTGTATCCATGGTAATTTTCTTTTTGGTGCTGGTTATAAATAGATAAAACAGTCAAACTGAATGGAACCAGTTGTAAATGAAAACCAAAAAAAAATGAGAAGAGGATCATTCCATTTTGAAAAGATTGAGTATGTTGAATAATAAATTTATTTTTTCCATAACAACTTTAATAAGGTTTCTGAACTTGAAAAGCAAATACAAAGCAAACCCAGCACTAGCTGTGAATGTTAGGGAATGGGAATGAAGCTGTAACTAGCACATTACGTGCATCTGTCTTGTACTAGACGGAGGCTGGGGGTCAGATAAATCTAGGCCACCGTTTGAGAGCTCTGGTAGGTGTAAAAGGTGGTTGGTCAGCAAAATCCTGGCATGTTGGGGGTCCCAGCACGCTGCAGAAGCAGTGGGTCTGGCCGTGTTTTTGCAAAGTCGAGCGGGCAGAGTCTGGTGAGCAGCACACCGGCCCAAAGGGCTGGCTGGGAAGAAGCGATCCGGGCTGCAGCGGGGAGCCCGTGCGCGGGCTGCGGCGAAGCTCAAGCCCGTGCTGGCGGGGAGGGACGCGTGGCCGAGCAAAACTATCCCATCCATTGGGAAGGCGGCTTGGTGCCACACACCCTGTTACTGCATCCGTGCACCAAACTCAGGACCTCGCTGCTTTGGTGGGGTGAAAGCTGCCATGCACCCAGGCTGCCCAGCACCGCCTGCTCCACTGAGAAAGGCATTTTCTCTTCCTACTAAAAAGTGTTGGTACAAACACCAGTGCAATGTGGAGTCCCAGGCAGAGAAGAACTGTACCAGTCTGCATTTCAAAAGGTTCGTGCTTCGATGGATTAAGGAAAGCAGCCCCAGGAATTTGCTCACCAACAGGAATCGCTTGTGGTCGTCTTCTGTGTGAAGATCATGCACCTGGTCACAGACGGGCTGTGGGAACAATCCTCAGCAGTATCTCTTCTTTGAGTGCTTGGAGCTGTGCTGAAAATGCTTGGTGGTCCTTCTCTGTACAACGTGCACTTCAGCAACCTTCTGTTCATCTTAATTTGGAGGCAAGTCTCAATAGGAAGAGTGGTACCTCAAATGTTACTGATGCACGAAGGCTGGTTATCTTTTCTGTGTGCATTTTTTTGTCTTTTTGTTGTATCTCTGGCTTCTCTTCACACTCTTTAGGAATGGGCCCATTTGCCTGGAGAGCGACCTTCCAACTGCGTAACTGCCTTGGACAGACAGAACTGCAGCATGTTTACTTTGGATGGGAAGAACTGCCAGGTTTTAAAAGGAGAGTTTAAACAACAGAGTGTATGAGAAGAGAGGGGCCACTGCCCTCGCAGTAATCCCTCCAAGAAGTAATCAGAGAGGGTCTCCAAAACCGACCTCTGTGCATCTCACTTGGCCTCTCCTGCTTTTGTGTCCCTTTCATGTGACAGGCCTCGAGAGGGGTGCCCAGAGGCAGTGCTGTAGCACATCTGTTGTTCTGTTGGAGCTGCCGAGTCTGCCAGGCAGTGGCCAGGCACTCTGAGGGGCCTTTGCATTTAGCAGAGCCCTGCAGCTGCTGCTGGGCCTTGCACTTGTGTGCCCTGCATGTTCCCACAGCCACGACGCCGGCCGGGCCCGCACAGCCTGGGGTGTCTGCCCCAACCGTAGGGCTGGGCGGAAGCAGTTGGGCTTACTGGAAAGTTGTGGTTTCCCTGGGTTCGTCTTGTTTGCCTGTGAAAGGCTCCTGCTTGGGTGTTTAATCCTTTCATCCTTCTGTGGGCTAGGGTAGAGCTGGAGTCTCCAGCGTGGCTCGTCTGGCTCGTGCCACAGGCCGTGGCTTCATCTGCAGCTTTGGGAGCAACACTGCCCTGAAGGAGCCCATGGCACTTCTGCATGTGAGGTCCAACCCTTGGCACGGCTCAGGCTTCGGGTGAGCCTGCACATCCTCGGCATCTTCAGCCTCTCCCCAGGCCCCTGGGGCTGTAGTAGTCTCAGGGTAATGCCAGGAACAGCTGCCTTGTCCTCCCTCTTCCCTGCGGACAAGGAGGCCTTGCCTTCCCTGTGTGATCCCGGCCTCCTTCCCCTTTGCTCTGCTGGCAGCTGTTTTGTGTCCCAGAAAACTCCCTGCACCCACCAGAAGCTTGGCCACCTCTGCAGTCTGTACAAAGTACCCTTCCTCAGTAGCTCAAGCACATTTAATCTCTTCCTTCAACCCTCTGAAGAAAAACATCCTTGTTTTACTTCTTCAGCAACCTCATGTC